GGATTCGGCTTATCTGTGTAAATGTTTTTTTTTTACATAATCTCAAAGAAATTTACTTATTATATCTCGTACTATGGGAAAATGGCGCCAATCAAGAAGGTATGGGGTTAGAAAGAAGTCATTCATGTTGATGAAAAATTTCAAATCTCATACTTTGGAAAAACCTCACCAATCGGGATTCGGCTTATTTTGTGTAAATGTTTTTTTTTTTACACAATCTGGGTTTAGAAAGGAGTCATGCATGTGATAAAAATTCTTTGGAAAAACCTCACCAATCGGGATTCGGCTTATCTGTGTAAATGTTTTTTTTTTTTATATAATCTCAAAGAAATTTACTTATTATATCTCGTACTACAGGAAAATAACGCCAATAAAGAAATTTTACTTATTACAAAATTTAAAATTTATCAATATGCATGACTCCTTTTTCTAAACTCGTATCTTCTTGATTGGTATCATTTTCAACGTGATTGGCACTATTTTCCCATAGTACGATATATAATAAGTAAAATTTCTTTGAGATAAAAAAAAACATTTATACAGGTAAACTGAATTCCGATTGGTGATGTTTTTCCAACATGCATGACCCCTTTTTCCAAACCCGCACTTCTTGATTGGTATCGTATGAGATATAATTATGTGAAAACAAACCATTTTCCAAAGTCAAAGATTTTACTTATTATATTTTGTACTAAGAGAAAATGGTGCCAATCAAGAAGATAGGCGTTGGAATCTGAGAAAATGGTGTTAGGCCGGGTCATTCAGTAAAAATTTTCACAGTCATATGGTAGTTTTACTCAATATTGCAATATTGTAATCAAACGTAGAATATTAAAGAATAATTGATGAACTGGAAAGTAACTTTATTTTGATTTTCATTTTGAATTAATGTATTATATTTTTTTTGTTACTAATGTTTTTTTTTTTTTTTGAGGAATAGCAGACGTTAATAGGAAAGTAACTTTAATTTAATTTATTGATTTGAATATAATATGTGGTTCAATTCCATATTTTTTTAAGAATCTGTTTTTTTTTCACCAAACATCTTTAATTGCCTTATATGAGCCATCCTTAGTTTTAGTTAGTTACTATACTCTTTCTTTATCGAAATCAGATCGAGTAGTAAAAATTTTATTTGTAGTTTATATATTTAACTTTATAAACCTGGATTAATTTCTTTTTTATATTCATATTTTATAACTGATGGGCCGGTCAAGAACGTGTGCTCAATGGGTCATTCTCTTCTTTCATTTATTCATAGAAAATTTGTTTTCTAACAATAGATATTAAAATAACCTGCCTGTCGACATCGAAGTATTAGAAAGCTATATGGAGGTACAATTTATGATTTCTGCTATGTTTATAATTATTATTAAATTTACTTAAATCACTTTTCTAAAGTTCCGAAATAGAGCACTGTTCTAATATTTTTTTGTGGTTTTGCGTAATGCTTGATCTAATTGGGATGAGAACATTATTGACCGTTACAAGATTTTCATTGTGCTTTCGTGATTTTGCTTGTAATGCTCGATCAAATTGTAATGGGGTCATTATTGACCGTTCCAATATTTTCATTGTGCTTTTGTAGTTTTTGCTTGTAATGCTCGATCTAATTGGGATGAGGTCATTATTAACCGTTCCAATATTTTTATTGTGCTTTTGTAGTTTTTGCTTGTAATGCTCGATCTAATTGGGATAGGTCATTATTGACCATTCTAATATTTTTATTGTGCTTTTGTGATTTTTGCTCGTAATGCTCGATTTAATTGAGATGAGGTCATTATTGACCATTCCAATATTTTTATTGTGCTTTTGTGGTTTTTGCTCGTAATGCTCGATTTAATTGGGATGGAGTCATTATTGACCATTCCAATATTTTTATTGTGCTTTTGTAGTTTTTGCTCATAATGCTCGATCTAATTGGGATAGGGTCATTATTGACCGTTCCAATATTTTTATTGTGCTTTTGTGGTTTTTGCTTGTAATGCTCGATCTAATTGGGATGGAGTCATTATTGACTGTTCCAATATTTTTATTGTGCTTTTGTAGTTTTTGCTTGTAATGCTTAATCGAATTGGAATGGGGTCATTACTGACCATTCCAATATTTTCATTGTGCTTTTGTAGTTTTTTCTCGTAATGCTCGTTTTAATTGGGATGGGGTCATTATTGACCATTCCAATATTTTCATTATGCTTTTGTAGTTTTGCTCGTTGCTCGATCTAATTGGGATGGGGTCATTATTGACTATTCCAACGTTTTTGCTCATATTTATTGGTTCCATTTTATTCAAGGTACATGTAAATATTTTAATCCATATAATGCTCGTACAAATTTTTTACAAAAGCTCGATCTAATTGTGAGATGGGTCATTATTGACCGCTTCACATTTTTGCTTATACTAAATTTTTGTTGTTCACCTTTTTGTGGGGATGGATTATGCTCTAATATGATAAAAGCTAAATTCTGATAAGAGTTTTATCTCTTATATAATGATATTGCTTCTGATGAGAGATTAATATTATTTGGTAGCAGTTTTGAATACAGAATTGCATACTTGACAAAGGGTATGCTGAAGAAAAACTTACTCATTTTATTTTTATGTAATTCATTGGCAAAATAAAAATAAACTCTTAATGTTATGAAGAAATAGATGTTTTTGATTTCGTGCATATCATATTTGTTCTCATATGAATATTTGCTATTTTACTGTAACATTTGCATAATTGTTCTTAATGAAGAATAAATTCAAGTTATTATCACTATTAAAGACTTGTGTATTATATTTTACAATCTGAGTTTAGGCTATATAAAGTTTTGTTTCTCATAACCCGGTCGGGTCAGCTTTTATAAATTTTCGATACAAAATTTTATAAGTTATTTACTATAAATCCTTCCGGGTGGATTTTTAATAAAAATCTTTATATGTTTTTAATATTTTCTAGATAATGAAAAACATAAATTTTTACAATTTAAAAATCAATAATCGGGCGGGCAGGTCACTTTTAGAATTCTACGTTATGAGAAACAATTATTTTATTATGTATGGCCTTATACGACAAATAATTTTTTTAAAAAAACTGAGTTTTATTTGGAAATAATTGTGGGGGATTATGCTGAAAATTTTTTTTATTTTATTTATTATGAAATGTAAAATTTCGGGTGAGTAGTATTTATTATAAAAAAGTATATGTGAATTTTAGCAGCTTTATAGATTTAAAAAAAGACTCCATAATCCCCCACAATAATTTTGAACTTTATCATAATTTCTGAAATTTAGGATAGTATATTTTGTTTTTTGTTTTTTTGTGTGAATACAATCTAAAAATAAAGAAATTTCATTCTAATAGTATTTCTTATAAATACCAGGAACGTTAGTGTATGGTTTTACTGGCATCTAAAACGAAGGCAAAATCTTAAAGCTGATTGGTACATATT